TTCATTATGTGTATTGTGTGTTTTTTTTAAAGTAAGACTTGGATAGATATATAATTAGATAAATGCATTTTATCCCCTTTTTAAAGATTTAAAGATGTTATATAAAGGTTTTTTTTATTCATATTTCACCAAGCTCCTGCTACCCATAGTGTACTGTAAACCCATGCAGAGTGGGCACATAATATTGGATGAGATAAAGATCAAAACCTTATCGTCACCATCTCTCTTATCCAATTAAAACACCATGGCCACATGTAGGTCTTAAGCACACACGTTTGCTGTCATGGAAACCAAAGCCTGCTAGCTGTACTGTTTCTGTTTAAACTGTCTTGCAGACAGACACCAGACCTCAAAGAAGGCATGTTTTCACCCTTTGACACTGATTAAAGTTAAACTACAATGATAGCTCTTACATAATGGAAATGACAGCTTTGGACAGAAGAAAATAATGATGTTCTTCAGGCTTCTCTATGAGGAGTACAACAAAGCAAATTCACTGTGTGGTGCACGTAAAATCTTTACTTGGAAAATGTTCAATTTTGGGATTTCAGAAAGCAGAATTGTTGGTGTGCACTTCTGGCTTTGCTGTTACATAAAGTGAAAGACTTGTGAGGTACAATATCAAGAAGCAACAACTTTAATTTTTTTTTGAAAAAACACTTTAGAGACCAAACACTTTTTAGTAACAGCCACATCCACCTATTCATGCGGTGCTTTACTTAACACCTTTGAGCCCTTCCTATCTGCCACACACTCATTTATAAGGAGACATGAGGGGCACTGCTTGAACATGTGGACTGGAGGAGACCTTCCAATCCAGTCTAACTTCTCGAGCCACAGATGTCACATAAAAAAATAAAACTCAGCCTTTTACAAAAAATAGGCAACAACAAAGTCCACTATTACAAGAAACGCAACAAAACGTTCAGCTTGAGCTTTCTGGTTAAGAAAGTGTAAGTGTGAGAAATGGAGAGGGTTGACCTACAGCTGTTGTTCAGGACCCGGTCCAGACTCTCACGCCATTGAGAAGCCTCTTCAGGAGCAGGCCTGTGTGCACAAAAACGCCTCTTTTCAGTCAGGAGGAAAAACAGTGTAAAACTTACCTCAGGAGCTAAGAAGGCTTTCTTTACAGTCTTTAGCTGCCATGTTGTTGGAAAACACTTTTGCTTTTAGTGCTTATAGCTGGATAATGCTTGAAGCGTACAATTTAAACTGCAAAAAAACAGTTATTAAGTTAAACTTATGGTACAAAACTGCTTCCTGCACAATGCAGAGACTGCTATGTGGCAGTAAAGGTAAAATGTATGTATTTATTAATAATCAGGAAACATTTCAGCCTTCTCACTGAATAACTGTACAGACACCTTTGTACACGAGTGCTGATCCAACCCAAAACAATCCTTGACTTTGAGAAATCTCACTCAGACTCTTTTTTTTTTAAAGCAGCCAGTTAGACGTAGATCGTTGTTGATCAACACAGGTGTTAATAATCACAATAATTAAGGCTCAGACCTAAAAAAAAATTGCTTCTTTAATTCTTTAGTGTTTGCCTTGTTTTCCTTTGAAAATGGTTGGGGGAAAATAAAAACGACTGTCAACAGACACCAAGTAAACCTCTGATGAACTGTTGCCAGACAGCCTCAGAAAACAGGCTATAAATATTCAAACACATTGCTGTATTGTCCTTGTCTGAAAAAAGCCAGATGAAAGCTTTTGAACTGAGTTTGCACTATAAGATTTCACATTTCTGCAGAGGAAAAATAGACCATCTATGTCTGAATCTTTCCCCGTCATTTCCACTGAGCTCCAACTTTAAACTCATTCAAAGTGCACTCTTATTAAAGACATTGGACAAAGAAGTCAGATTGTGAAACAATGCTGCCTTCCAGTCACCTTTTTAGGGAGCATTTCTAAAGCAGCCTGCTTTTTTTTTATGGGGTAAAAATAGTTGGAATAGCTAGTGAGTGACACCCAATCTGCGTCTTAAAAAAAAAAAAAACAAAGGAAAAAAAGTGTGCTTCAGAAAAAATGAGGGTTAAGAATAAATAGTAAGAATTCAAACCAAAGCTTACGGAATAACGAAACATAAATTCGACTTTCTCGATGATATAAGAAAAAAAAATGGAGTTCTGACAGCTCAGGCAGGAGAGCTGCTATGACTGCTGTGAGCCAAACTAAACAAAAAGGTCAAAGGAGCTGCAAGACAAATTTATAATAAATAAACCCAAATAAAGCTTCTGCCACAGCCACATAAACCTTCCTCAAAGCTACACTGTGGCTGGTTTTTAGGTGGTAAAAAATCATCATGCTTTTACTGACACAAGTCAAGGTCTTTCTAGTCTCCATTTTATGCTACAATTTATTTAAAACATTTTCCATTATGTTAAAAACAAACACTGAAGGCAAAAGTTTCCCTTACAACACCAAAAGTCTAGATGTACAGTAACAGAAGACAAATAAACACAAAAAAAGGGCATAATTTAGCATCTCATACATATTTTACCACTGTTCAAGGCAATGCATTTGAAATCTCAAGCTTTGTACCATCACACTCCCAACGTCTGAGCCCACTCAATGTCTGGGGAGGTTTCACTGGCCCCTTGATCTCCACATCTTGTACCTGCTCGGGGCTCTGTTCTCCCGCTTTACCATCAGTTATCTGGTTAACAGATAATCAGGAAAACCCTACCTACATCACAGACATTTGGTCCTTGGAGGGAAAAACACTCACTTCTGGAGCTTCTCCGGTTTCTTTTCAGTCTTCTCAGGGTAGGGGATGATGAGGTCGATGGCATTTTCCGGCTTCTGCAGTAAGACTCCTAATTTTGACTTGATCTCCTTGGCCCTGAATGACAGAAAGAAGAACGGGACAAGAACGCTTTAACATCTAACAGTCCGGTCCAGATGCTTATCAAATTGTGACACTGTGATAAGTGTCATCCTCTAACCAGAGTAGTATATTTGAACAGGACACTGACATTACACTCACAAGTAAAAATCTGCTTTAGCAATCAGTGTAACACAGCTTCAGAAATAAAGCTGCTAAAACTGTTAAAAAAAATAAGTCAGGAACAAAACCTAAAATCCAGGTGTTGTTTTTATTTTAGCATTTACTGCACTTTTATTTCTCTTTCTCTCATTAAGCAACGTGCCTGACCTCCCTCAGTGTTTGAATGCTTAAGCAATACACTATTCATTTGTAAAACAATAAAAGCTTTAAAACAAGTCATGTACATTATTGTCTGTGTCAAAAAGCCTGTTTAAAAAGAATTTATAGGAGGCAGAAAATAGACCAGAAAAGTAAAAACTTCTTTTTGCTTTAAAGTGCTTTCCAGTGCATACTGTTAACTTTAATGGCACAGAACTCCCACAAACAGGTTACAAAGTTTAGTCAAACTTTGCGGGATCCAAACCACATCACAGCAACACACTATTAAGATGTAGGCAATGATTCAGTACTCACCTTTCGAGGCAGGTTTGGGGTAAAGCGGCTAATCCTTTGCACATTTTCCAGTGCTTTCAATTGCAGTAAAGAACAAATTCAGTTTTCCTGTTAACCCACAGTCACTCCAGGGTTCTTTTTCCTTTCTGACTCTGCCTTTCAGCACATAGGGAGTTTTATACAGACGCCTTTTGGGCTGCGGGCCAACAGCTAAGCCAATCAGACTGGAATGTGTACTGCACGGGTAGCCTGGCTGAGGAAGGGTGGGTTTTCAGATGTGAATGGCTCTTTGCTTTGAGGTTTCAATTAACTGGTCCAGATACAGAAAGGAACATTAGATTTCACTGATTTAAAGTTTATGTAACAGGGATCTGAAGGTGCTAATCACGGTGTGGTTCGCATCTTGTCAGTGTGTTTATTTTATTTGCAGTGATGCATTTGAAAACAGTTCTTTTGAATTTGGTATTTATAGTTCCTGTTATATTTGTTAGTACCAATTTGTTTTCTGATCCTATTTACAGGATGTTTATTTTTATTTTTTACCATTTTACACATTTCTTTTAATCTGACACATGAGTGTGGCTAAGAGTGAATGTGTTTACAGTTCAATTGAGTTCTTTTTGTATATCACAAATCACAATAACAGTCTGCTCAAGGTGCTTTATGTTGTAAAACCCCCACAATAATACACTATTGTTTAAAACTATAAAACTATAATGTATAACTTAACTGCGACTGAAGTTTGATGCTAAGTATGAGCTAATGTTTAACTTGTTTTGTTCCAGTTAATTGTGTCAGCTGTGTATACATAGACTTCTTTTAAAAGTTACTTTATTTGGCTTTTCCCCGCCCAATGTACTGAGCAAAGAAGAAAGAAAAAAGGCAAATGTACACGTTAGTTATAAAGGTATTTTTAGATTCACCTCGGGCTATCGGGCTAATTTTGATTCCAAACAAAAATCTGCAAAACTGTTATTTTTAACGAAATTTAACTTTTCGATTTATTGAGTATTGATAGTTTAAAGCCATTTATATGGACATCTGAAACCCCAATCTGGAACTTTTGTAGGCTTGACTTGCTGTCACCAGAAACTCTAAATTGAAGAAGCTAAAAGAGAGCCTTCATCAATTTTCATCTTTTGACTGACATATTCCAAGTTCCAAAGTCTGTAATTCTAACTTCTAGTATGATAGTTTTGTCCCCACTGCTCCATATTATAGCTTACCCTGCGACTTAACATTTTTAATTACAGATCATTTGCTCATTTTGTTTATTGTTGTTTTATGTCACACAACTGACACTGCTGTCTAAATTACAACCGACCAACCGCGTCTCCTAAAAATTGCATATATACATAACGGCAATATATTGTTTACCCAGTTACATTTACTGGGCAATGTACATCTATTTGCTGGCTGGGTTAAGCTGCGCCTCATTAATTATCTGCATCAGAGTAGACACGGTGGCTGAAATGCATGACTCGTGTACATAGCAATCAACTCTCTCACTTGAGAGCAAGATTTACATCCTGGCTCGAAGACACCCGTACTTTGGCAGATGCTGTGCTGCTTTCTGCAGAAGTATGAACTCAGCTTTAACCAGATTTCACCAGAAATTTGATCAGAGATAATGCTTCCCTGAAAGAAATTATGACCACTAAAAAACCCTGTATCTGACTTGCACATAATGCAAATGCAGTAGCCAATTTTCTGGCTGAATATTCTTCTGATTATATATAAATATATAAGAATAAATGCTCACAGTGCCACATGTGTTCACTCTCTGCAGATTCACTGCAGAAATACATGCAGTTTTGAAAAACAGGCACTTAAGTTAAGGTTAGAAAGGTTAGTGGGGTTTACTTAAAGGTAAGTATGCCATCCGTCTTTTTCTTATACACTAAGTATAACTTGGTCGTAATTTTTGTTTTCCTCAAAATCAATTTAGCTGTAAATGTTATTTTCACAAGGCTGCATTGGACTGGGAGACGGTGACAGTTTTCTCTAATCTTGTACATTCCACTGAGTGATTCCTTAGATGTCCTTCAACCATGACACATTCATTGATTCAGTCTGATTCATCCCAAAAGATTTTGCAGCCTCTAAAATGTCGTTCTACATCCGTTTTACTGTTTGAACAATTGCAAGCTTAAGATTAATTTCAGAATATCAGTGAGTGAATGCACCATTCCTTTTAGTAACTTCAGGGACAAAATACATTCTTGTAAATACTGCTTTTTAACATCTCTGTATATGATAAACACAGCAGACTGAAACATTTTTAACCTTGAAATCTATTTTTTCTTTTTTTTTGGCATGATTGGAAAAACTGCATGAGTATATGTCAGAGAGTACTCTTGATTGCTGTCAAATAAATAGATCTATCTGTCTAGAAAATTGGTTTTCAGCTGTTACAGCACTTATTGAGAATTATATTGAATGTACTGCCCAAGGTCCAAAGAAGAACTTTCTGTTGAATGACTAAAGCATGATGTGGTCACAAGCTTTTCATTGACAACGTAAGCCACCTACATTTAATTGAGAAAAATAGTGATGAATTTCATCATTCACATGCTGCTTGCCAGTGTTATAAAGGCCGGACATGTTATCCGACCAATTCATTACAAAGATAGAGCCGGCTAATTCGAATTCTCTCAAAGTTTTGATGCTGATCAAGATTTTAATCGGCAGCAGAAGTTATTAGAAAGCAATTATGAGGCTTCTGATTTTAAAATCTCGTCATGAGCAGGTTATTACACCAACTTTATTAACCTTAGTGTCATTACTCTTTTGTGCGTGCATTTAAGTCACTGCCTTGGGCCCCTTTAGAGCCGAATTTAAATCTGTTTCTGAAACGTGACATGAGTGTAATACGTGCGACATGTGCGCTATAAGTTAATTTGTACCACTGAGCATACACGTAACTGAATACATAAGCACTGACCTGCTTTGGAAAGGAGGAAGACAGTTCACTGTTAGCCCTCAAAGCTAACTGCAACAAACCTTTCCCCCAACAACGATCAAGATTTGAATACTTATACTTAGTTTTTAACATACATGTGACTCACTGAATTGCTTCAGTTTACTTTTCTTACTTTGGTATTTGATTTATCTGCAGTAAAGAACACTGAAAGTAAACAGAGCTCAAAATTTGCTATGGTGATGAACCCCATGAGATGAAAATCTAAATATATGAGCCAGAACAGCCCTGGAAAATTTCTTGTTTCACACAGTTTAACACTAATAACAAATAAATAAACAGCCATTTTCCTAAGAACATTGAGACTGCTGAAAAAAGAGAGGTAGGGGTTTCTCAAATGAGCTCGAGGTGCCCTCTGGACCATGAGCACCAGGCCTTCTGTAGCCTTAAAAAGAAATCATCATGTTGCTACAACAATGTAGTCAGAAAGCGTAGGCTTCTGTACAGCCAGTGCTGTAGGCCAGACAAAAGAGGATGGCAAATTATGCAGCACTTGTTAAACTGAAATATCAGTCTGTCTTGGTATAGGTCAGGGGTCGGCAACCCGCAGCTCCGGAGCTGCATGCGGCTCTTTAGTCCTTATAGTGCGGCTCCGCGTGGTTTGGGAAAATAAATGAGAAGTATTTAGCTGAAGTGTCATTTATTTATGTTAGTTCTTTTTTAACTTGTAGTTCTAAATTGAAAGATTATTGTGATAGTGAAATATAAAAATACAATTATATTCTATTATTTTTTCATCGCTCAAAATAAGCGTCACACTCGTGGAAGCCGGTGTACTCGCCAAAACGCCGTGCATTTATCGAGACTTTCAACAGCAGGTAGGCCAATTATGGACCTTCAGATCCACATTATGTCAGCAGCTATTCTCCTCCGTGAACTATGTTAAAAACAAACACCGCTCACGCCTCACAGATGACAGCTTACAGTCCTGCGTAAAGATGAAAGTGACTTCGTACAGCTCCGATTTGCAGGCGCTGTGCGCAGAGGTTCAGGAGTAGAAGTTCCATTGTAAACATACCACGGCAGACCCGACGCTGTTTGCATTGACCACTTTTCACACACAGTTGCTGTACGCATACAGCCGGCTGTAGCTTTTCAGCTCACAGCCCGACACATACCAACACAACAGCATAGATAGCACAGATGTTAAGACGGCGAGGCGTGATTGCGGGTGCCGCTCAGGTGCGTCCGCCTCCCCTGCAGCGGCGCTGCAGACCACGCACTTGAACTTTAAGAGTTTATGGTGAGGAAAAAAATTAAATTACTGTGTAGGAAAGCCTGTGTTAGTGTGAACTACATTACC